ACTAACTTACTTATGGGCTGATATAACTTGTAATTTCTAATAACACAAAAATTGTTAATTATGTGGGAAATAATAATGCATGTATTGTTAACATGGATTGCAATGGGCAAGGACTAATTTGCGCTGAGTGTTAATACCAAATTAATAAAAGCATTATATGTGTTTGCACATAAAATTTTATCAGTTAATCATAGTTAATTAATTTAGAGTAAACAACGGATGCAAGTAAGTATTTACTATTACAATGTTATGATTTTTTTAATTAAAAGTTTTATCTTTATTTAACATAAGACTCTTCCCGTTAATCACCGTGTAAATATCAAATTGATGAAGCACAAATTTATTTTTCTTTGGCAATATAGTTTGCAACAAAATTATATTTTTATATCATCATCAAGTGTAGGAGTAATATTCGTCTCATAAGTCAGAAGAGAAATGTAAACGAAATAAAAAGGCAACTGTTAAACAACGCGCGAACTGCTCCTCAGCCTTCTTCTTCACCTCTCGTGTAATTCTCTTCTTAAGCTTATGCGCACACAAAAATAAAGAATAATATGTATAGGCAACGATGCATCATTGTTTAAATCGTAGAATTCTCATTCTATTTATTTTGTGTAGCTCACTTTTTCTCAGATGGCTTCCAGGTAATCGTAATTTTTATTAATTGGTTGACCTCAAGCTAATTAAATTCAGAATAAATGTTTGTGGTCAATTATGGTCTGTGTCAATCATGATTCTAAATTAATTGGGATCGGCTATGTAAATCCTTTTGTATGCATTGTTTCTTGATTTTGGTATAAAGGGAGAAAAAAGATTGATTTTTTCTCTTTAATGTTTGTTAATTTCTGCAGGATTAGTCATAGCGGCAGTTGTTACACTTGATTCGATCGAAATATATAAGAAACATGAATTATTCGGATCGAAACCAACAGTATTTTTTCAGTGTAAAGGGGAGAACAAAACAATTTTGCCAGATGTGAAGAAAAAACATGTCTTGTATACTTTCAAGGGTGAAGAGTCTTGGCAGGTTTATAATGACTGAATCTCTCTCAACTGTTTGATTTACTTACAATGGAATTTTCTTCTTGCTATCTTTTCCAGCTTTCAGTTTTACAATTCCCTTTACTTTCATTGTTTAGGGATAACTTGAACATTTAAAATTTACTAGCAATAACCATTTGTCGCAATGTTTGGTCATCAAAAGGCTTATAGCTTGCTAGTTTCGACTACTGTCTTAGTTAGAGGCGGACCCAGGATTTTAACGCGATGGGAGCACAATATTCTGCTCAACTAGTGCCCCCTAAAGGCTTTTAGTGTTTAGGGTGCCAAGTGATTTGAATTAACCTTTTTCAAGGTATACACTTATGCATATACAAGATTTCTACTGAAGTTTACGTGTGTCTGGTGACCCCTCAACATTACACATAGGTCCGCCTCTAGTCTTAGTTGCAAAAAGCTATTCTTCTTAACATGTTGGCATTGTGCTTGAGACGACTTAAGTATCTTGTTGGAAAATAAAAACTTGTGCACTTGTTTGTTGGGAAAGAGATCAGATTTTAGTATGTAGCCAATAAACATGAATATAGCAATGCATATGCCTTTATTTTCCTGCTAAAACGTAACAGGTTGTATGTAGGAGTTGCCTTTTGGGGTTTTTTTGGGGGGGGGGGGGGGGGGGGGGAACCTGTTACTCCCTAAGGTTTGGTGGACCGTTTACCTACATTTTGCCAAAGTGTTGGTTCATTGCATTTTCAAAGGAATTTCTACACAACTGGTCTTTTCTAACTTCCTAGTTAGACGATACCTATTGCAAAATTACAAAATGTAAACCTGCAGCATCCTCCCACCTTTGGACTCTAGTCATAACTCTTCTTTTCAACTTCTGCCTACAGTTGCTTCAGTTGGGTTTATGTATTTTTTTTTTTTTTGGGGGGGGGGGGGGGTTGTTTGGCAGGGTGTGTCATGTCGTATTCTTTTTGGGTGTAGAAATTGTAGTTTCCTAGTGGTTGGTTTGAAAAGTAGTGCTAGGAACTGTTTAATGGTTGTTGAGTGCTATATGTAGGAATATTTTAATGAAAATAATTTAACAGAAACAAAAAATAGCAGGGACTGAGATATTTGTGTTGCATGTTGGGGAAGAATCACATCTGGAAATTAGCATTTGGGTCATGGAAGTTATGCATTATTTCAACTTCTATCAGTATATTTCAAAAACTGTGTGTGCTGCTCAAGAGCTTGTGAATTTCTGTTGTTGGAAAGATTATCCAAGTTTATGCTAATATGATGTGCATGGCATAAGATATATCTCCTTCCAGAATTTGATGTTGAGTGCATTTTTTAGCCTTTGACAGAGCTTACAGATAAAAAGTGCAAACGATGCGGGATCTATGAGAAGGACACAATAAAGCCTGACGATACTTTTGATGAGTGGGAGTTATGTGCTTCTGATTTTACTAATCCTGATGGGAAGTATGTTCATTTCTTAAAGAAAGAGCTCAATGCCACATTTTTGTGTCCAGAGTGTGTCCCTCGTGGTGGTGGTTAGTCTTTTAATTCCTTATGCTCTTCTTTTTCGTAGTTCTCTCTGATGACATTTTGTTAGCTGATACAATAGAGGTGGGGCTGTTGATGTGGTGATGTAGAATAAATCACTGATACTCTATAGTTTTAATCTTTAGATGTTAAAGGAAATTCCTTGTGATTTTTCTTATCTGGGCTCTATTTATAGATTGAGGATTTTTTTGCTTCTGCGAATTTGTGGTCTTGTGGAGTTGGTTTACTTGTATGCTCAGTACTAATTATTAGTTCTATTGCGTTGTTTCTCTAGCTTCTAATCACTCATCTGGCTCACAAAAAGGGGGAAAGAGAATGCACTGGGCTCTAGTGCTGCTTATCTGTGCTTTAGCGTCAATTATTTTAGTTCTTGGAGCAGTCACTGTTTACAAATATTGGAAGCGAAAGAAGAGGCAGCAAGAGCAAGCTCGTTTCTTGAAGCTGTTTGAAGAGGACGATGACATAGAGGACGAATTAGGCATTGGGCCACTTAGTCATGTTATTTAGAAAAATAGCATCTTTTTTTTTATGTCATATCCAACATACATGTACATGCTTGACGTAGTTGTAGAGTATAACTTGAAGGGGTAAAAACTTAATTTCATTTTACTGTAAGAGAATATAGCAAATGTAGGTAGTACGGTGAGCTTGGAAGTATGTGACCACTGGGGAGTTATGAGACTGTATGCCTTTTGAATAGAAGATATTATTCTTTACAACTGAGTCCACTATGTAATTTCATTTCACTATTACTCCTGTTCCTTAGTGGTTATGACTAATGTCATCAAAATGCTCTAGCTATAGTTTCATGATCGCTATACATAATTGTTAAATGTAGAATACACACATGTGGAATGATATAACCAACTTTTCAGTTCACTTTTGCTATCTTCTTCAAGGTGTTCCTTCTTCATTTCAATATCCTCCTCTGTATACATGCCTCTTGCAGCTCAGTTGCTACAAACTGCAACCTTCCTGGCGCTCCAAAACATACCCGTTTCCCTTCTTCCTAAGGTTCCCAAAGAAGTTTGAAGAGATGGAGAAGTTTCTCCATAATGTTTCTAAAGAAGTACTCCAAGGATTGAGAATTAGGCTATTGTTCTTTTTTATGACCAATGTCTCTATTGTTGGGTGTCCAAACAAAGTCTCGTATTGGAAGCTGATAAGACAAAGAACCTACATATAATTTGTAGGGATACTCTTAATGGTGTGACCTTTCGGGAGAAACTATGCGAGCTTGCTCCAAAGCGTAAAGTATCATATGGTGTTAAGAGTATTTTAGCGCTTACTTAGCTCAATCAGAAGAGATGGTTCGGTTGAACGAGCATCGAGATGATGGAGAGTAGTTGTCATTTTATGTTGAAGGGGCACGTTTACTGCCTTGGCCAATCTACAGATCGATTTACCGCCTTTGTCAATCCACAAAAGGATATCATCTTTGATGTGAACAAGAAAAAACTGGCTATATCGGCGAGTACTTATTATGTTGCAAGCAGCTAATTCTCGGTGACTATCATCAACTACAGTATTGAAGTTTGAAGGTGAGACTGGTCTCCGATATGCTGATGGGTGTCAAAATGTTGATATCACAGGAATTTCTGACAGGTCCGGTACTTCAGTCCACTAACTGTCCTTGTTTTCATTATTCTTTTTGCTTTGCCTGAGCTAACCAACTTAGCTAATTACATGTGGTAAGTTGATAAGTAGGATTTTCTTGCTGGTGCTGTTGCATCTCTTGATGTTCGTTTTGTATATGTTGAGAGTGGACTAACAAAGGCAGCATTATAATTCTCTTGTGATTTTTGGTGAAATGCAGAAAGGATAGTTTTTGTAGATTTGTTAATAATGATTCTTTGGTCCAAGTAGAGTAACATTCTTAACTAATCTAATATGTCCAGATAATTAACAAAAGAATTTATACGATAATTCTGAAAAGGAGAAGAAGAAAAAGGGAGGTAACTTATCCTCTCTGCATTTGTGCAACAATACATTGTCAGTTTTTCAACTTAGTAAGAAGAGAGACTTAGGAAATTCTGAATATATATATATATATATATATATATATATATATATATATATATATATATATATATAGGTAATTAGGTGGCCTGCTAAGTTATCACTATCTTAAACAGACATAACCATCTCTGAACAGGCACTTAAAATTTTCAGTTTTCAAAAATAAAATTAAACATATTAATGAGAGCTCTTAACTGTCCCTTTTTTTGGGGTTCTTTTTGCTTAAAATGCACTCCTTTGCTTATCCCAAAGCCTAAAGTCCTTTTTGGGTTCTTTTAGCTTAAAATGCACTCATCTGAAAATCAAAGCTATTTGCTAGTCCACTTGGGCCATGTGATTGCATTGACTGAAAACATGCACTACATTCAAGAAATCCATTTGTTGAAGCAATTAAGGCATGTGCAAGAGAGCTTTAAGAATGTGTTCATTACCAAATTAGCCATTGAGAAGTGACTGATGAGACTAAGGAGCTTTAAGAGTTCAAATTGCTGTAATTGCTTGCATCATAGATAGAGGAATTTATTGGATAAGTTAGAAATACAACGATCTTTTGTCCCCAAAATATGCCTTATTTGAGCAGGTTGACCTTCTCTGAAGTAGTACCCAAGAATGCTTATCTCCTAGCGTAGAAAAGAAGAAACATTTGTGAGATCTGGAAACGCTGAAGTTTAGTTTTAGATAAGCATTAGTGTGGCTGAATAGTGCTGCAAATAGGCGTACTACATTGAAGAGTGCACATAAAGTATTTAATTAAAAATGTGAAACGTTGAAAGCCCTTCCGGACTCGCTTACTCCCACTCCACACTTCCCATTTTATAGATATTATTGTTTTTATGTAGAATGTATTATACATAAAAGGGAAGGAATATATGGAGGATTATGGGCAGTCAAGATGCGGTGAAATGAGCTCAGTGCACATGTCTTGAGCCCAAACAAAACACCCATAGTCAACAAGTTTTGACTCTCTCCATCACTGCCATTTTTAGGCCTAGAAGCAAAAACATGGAGCTTCAAGAATTTGGTGACTCCATCGAGGAAAATAGCAATTGCCATGATCCGCTTTTTCCTAATCCTACTTCATTTCCCTTTGTTCTTTCCTTTCATAACCTCAGCTATAGTGTTAAAGTTCGACGCAAACTGACAGTACTTCCTAGGTGCTTGAGGAGAACTAGCTGGGATGGCAAGTTGCCAGGGGAAAGCACAGATGAGGACATGAGTCGCACGAAGGTATTGTTGAATGACATTTCAGGGGAAGCAAGGGAAGGTGAAATCATGGCGGTCCTTGGTTCTAGTGGCTCGGGAAAATCCACGTTGATCGACGCCCTTGCAGACCGTATAGAAAGGGAAAGTCTTAAAGGTAGTGTAACATTGAATGGTGAAGTTTTGGAGTCCAAGTTTCTAAAAATGATCTCAGCTTATGTTATGCAAGATGACCTCTTGTTTCCCACGTTGACAGTCCAAGAAACCCTCATGTTCTCAGCCGAATTCCATCTTCCAAGGACTTTATCTTGGTCTAGCAAGAAGTCAAGAGTTGAAGCATTGATCGATCAACTAGACTTGCAAAATGCTGCTAATACAATGATTGGAGATGAAGGCCACAGGGGAGTGTCTGGCGGAGAACGCAGGCGTGTTTCAATTGGAATAGGAATCATTCATGACCCTATTCTCCTATTTCTTGATGAACCTACATCAGGACTTGATTCTACTAGTGCTTATATGGTGGTCAAGGTTTTGCAAAAAATAGCTCAAAGTGGAAGCATTGTGATCATGTCAATTCACCAGCCAAGTTACAGAATCCTCTGTTTGTTGGACCGTTTGATCTTTCTTTCATGTGGTCAAATAGTTTTTGGCGGTTCACCTACAAGCATTCCCCAGTTTTTTGCTGAATTTGGGACCCCAATTCCAGAAAATGAAAATTGGGCAGAGGTGGCTTTAGATTTCATACAAGAACTAGAAGAAACTCCAAATGGAACCAAGAATTTGGTGGAATTCAACAGATCATGGCAAAGAGAAAATCCAGCTTGCACCAGCTTTTTCAATGGACCTAAACCATCGTTGCAAGATGCCATAAGTGCAAGTGTTTCAAGGGGAAAATTAGTCTCAGGAGCAACAAATATCGACCACAATATTTCTTCCTTAGACGTCCCAAAATTTGCTAATCCATTCTGGATGGAAATGGTTGTGATAGCAAAAAGATCCATACTTAAATCCATGAGAATGCCTGAGCTGTTTTACGTTCGTTTTGGTGCTGTTGTTGCAACTGGGATCATTCTAGCCACACTCTTTAGAAAACTGGACAATTCCCCAAAAGGGATTCAAGAAAAGCTAGGTTTCATTGCCTTTGCCATGGGTTCAATCTTTTACATATGTCTTTACGCCATGCCAGTCTTCCTCCAAGAAAGGTACATTTTCATGAGAGAGACAGCATATAATGCTTATCGCCGTTCCTCTTATGTTCTCTCCCATACCATCATCTCGCTTCCTTTACTATCTGTCCTCTCCCTTACGTATGCTTTAACAACTTATTGGTTAGTCGGTCTAGCAGGTGGCTTTTCGGGGTTTATTTTGTTCTTCCTCTTCATGTTTTCCACATTTTGGGCTGCTAATTCCTTTATCACATTCCTCTCAGGAGTTATTTACTCTGAAATGGTTGCTTACACAGTAGTCACCTTAATTTTGGGTTGGTTTATGTTGTTAAGTGGCTTGTTCATTGACCGAGATCGGATCCCCCCTTATTGGATATGGTGTCACTATTTATCTCCACCAAAATACCCTTATCAAGGTGTTTTACAGAATGAATTTGATGATCCATACAAGTGTCTTGTAAAGGGTATCAAGATTTTTGACGCCTCGCCGTTGAAGGATGTTACTGAGTCGTTGAAGATAGAGTTGCTTCAAGACATGAGCAAGATCTTGGGGATGAACATAACAAACTCAACTTGTTTGACAACAGGAATAGATATATTGAAGCTAACCGCGGTGAATGATTTAGACAAGTGGACTGACTTGTGGATCACCATTGCTTTGGGAATATTCTACAGGATTCTCTTCTATTTTGCTTTGTTGATTGGAAGCAAAAATAAGAGGCGCCGAGTACTTTTTTGAGGAAGAATATCTTGACAAAATCTTTCAAGAAGCAAGGTAGTCAAACTCAACTAGAAAAATGGAGATTTTCTTGTTTGAAATTTGCATTTTGTTTGTCTCTCACAGATTTGAGATAGTTATGTCTCTACATTTATTTTGAAGTTTAAGGTAGACCTTTTGTAGGTCAAGAGACAAAATTTTGTCCATTATGGACATGTTTCTTTGTTCAAACACCATGTCATGTTTGCCTCCAATTAACATAATTCAGAAATTTAAAGTCAGGGTCACTTGCAAGCTGGCTAAGCAATGTTGCAATCATTTTTGAGCGTTGCGACGCACAGTTTCTATTTGTTGATACTTGACCTGGAGCTGCAGTGCACAGCTTCAAAGCACTGTGGCACCTATATTTCACTGTTGCTAACATGAGAACTACCTGCGAAAAGAATGAGATTAAAATTAATGATAAGTATCAAGTAATTATGTGAGAAAATAATTTACAAATATGCTATAAAGAATTACCAAATATAATGATTAATATCCTACGCTAATAGCTATTATTATTATTTTAGTTAGTGTTTAAAATAATTCTAGTTAGTAAAAATTAGAAGTGTGCGACCCAATAATCCAAAGAGACTTTTTCCTTCCTATACCATATATGAAACTTTATTACAAAAAATGTGCACAGTTTCTAATTTACCCGCCCTGTCCACATTTTTCCTACAATTATTATACCATTCATTAAATACTAATTATTAGTAGCTGAATCTTCCTAATTAGGCATGCTAAAATTCAGGAACAGAATCTTCCAATTGATTTAGCCACAAATCAAATCTGTTCAAAAGCTCAATTCGTCGAAATCAAATCTGTTCAAAAGCTCAGATCTGTTCTTTGATATTTTCGCTTAAGACACAAATCAAAAGCTCAGTTCGTCGGATGCTCAATTTCAAATTGTAGAAATCAGTTCTGCAAAATTCTCTCTACATCTCTCCCTATTTCTCAATCGCAAATTTCAGTAATACAAAGCAAATGAAAAGAGAGCAGCAATTCCACCATTGACAGCCATTAAAAAGCTTGAAAGGTTTGAATTCAAATTTGGGTTTTCAAAAATCATAATTTGTTTGGATTGGGTGTTGTTGAAAATAATCGGGAATATGGTTTGGAGTTTATATCTCAATTTTGAAGGGTTTTGGTGAAGATTAGACTTGGTTTTGACTGAATTTTTGATTGAAACTCGAAGAAGAAGAAGAAGACATATTGCAGAAATTGTAGATAAATTGTAGATTATTTGTATTCTGATTGTAGATGCTTTATTTTCTGTTTTCACAAAAAAAAACTTCTACAAATCTTCTACAAATCTTCTGAAAAAACACAATTATGTCAAAAACCCCAATTATGCTACAATTGAATGAGAATTGGGATACAAAAATTCAATGTACCCAGTTTGTAGATATTTTGTAGATAAATTATAGATTATTTGTATTCTAATTGTAGATGCTTTGTTTTCTGTTTTCACAAATCCAAAACGAGTAAAACTTCTACAAAATCTTCTGCAAAAAACGCAATTATGTCGAAAATACCAATTAAGCTACAATTGAATGGGAATTGGGATATTAAAATTCAATGTACACAGTTTGTAGATATTTTGTAGATAAATTGTAGATTATTTGTATTCTGATTGTAGATGCTTTGTTTTCTGTTTTCACAAATCAAAAACGACTAAAACTTCTATAAATCTTCTTCAAAAAACAGTTTACAATTTAGTATAAATGTAGTAATTATGTAGATACCCTTACAAATAATACTGCTTTATACATACTTAAACTGATTTGTTGTATATTTGTAGAATTTTTGTAGAAAATATATTGAAAGATATATTCTTTCAGTATATATCTAGCAAATTCTCTGTTGCTAATTGATTCTGTTTTCATCTTATCTATAACCGGAATGGTTCTGATGGATGTTTGAATTGGGAAATGTTAAGGTAAGATTTCCAGTTAATATTACCGAACATTCCCAAGAAATGCAGTATTTATTCACCAAAAGTTGCTACTGATTTTCCATCACAACTAATAGCATCATCTGGAATATATGGAAGAACCAAAAGCAATATTTTGGATTAGGCTTCAACGAGAAACTTATTGCATCGAAGAATGAATATTGGAGGAATCTGCATCCAAGAATGCCTGGATTAAGCACTTCAAATTCTGTTCTCATATAAACAAAGAAGAATTTTCAGATTCCTTTAATTAAGGAGTAAAAAACGTATAATTAATTATACCCTTAATTAATTATGGTATAGAATTGGTAATTTGGTATACTAAGTGTAATTAAGTCAAACCTTAAACATTGAGGGTAATAAGGTTTCCTATGTGGCATAGAAATGTAAAACTTCCTAATCTAGTCTCGAAATAACCTGTTAGAAGAGAAACACATACATTAAAAATCGAACTCACCACAAATACATATTTACATATATAAACACATGTATATATAAAATTGTGACAACAATGAAGATGCTAGTTTAATTCAGTATCTTTTTAAAACAAAGTAAATTAGCTAACATGGAGTTATTGTCAAATTTTCATGAATGAATGTTAATCGACTGAGACGTTATATATAGTAAGTATTACTTTTCTTGCACAACATCAAGAGTTGAAAAATAGTATTGATATGACTAAGAAAGCTAATAATAATCACACAAATAATAAGCCAGGTAGGGTTTGTATATGTATACACAAAGAAAGGAGATCTTGGGTTTCTTGACGTTAGTGACCTGTATTAGTTGTAGATTTAGAGGAAACTAAAAATTTAACTAATATATCCCCACAGACGGCGCCAAATTGTTCAACCAAAAAATATAGATCTTGGTTCAAATAATTAAATTTATATGAATAAGGATTAATCTTAGCTAACAATAATATCCCTAGATGGAGTTCTTAAATAAACAACAAATACTACGCAGATCTGGTCGGACAACGGCAGTGACATTCAATAAGTATTCTAGAAATCAGAGGCAATAATATAGCATTCAATGATAATGAACAACACTAAATGACATTTAAGTAAATAGAGTGAATGAGTCACCCAAGAAAGGATGGAATAAGCAGATGTTCTTTCTGACAATGATGAATGATAGACAATCCCTTGAATATTTGGGTTATTCTCGGATCTAGTGGAAAATCATAGACAAGAATCTCAGTAAAAAGGTGAAGTTTGTATCTTAGCAAGTGAGATCCGATTTTTTAAGTCAAAGTATGTTCGTTACAAATGAATATCACATATCCCCTATCATAGTATCTTTTTCTATTTATAGGGAACATACTCTTAACAAACCCTAATAGTGCAAGTGTAGATAATATCCACTAGAATGTTCTCTGTCAAATCATGTCTTGAAACTAGCCGTTATTACTTCGTCTAAGGCACTCGACCTCGTCCCCGACCCTTGTTGACTCTTGGGCTTTGTTCTTTGTTGAATTTTCGACCACACACTTTACCGCTTCTCGGGCCATTTCAACAAATTACGACTTGTTAACTCTTCCCCTAATACTATCTTGGTTTAAATATTCTAAGGATAGATTTCGACTCATACAGTTAGTCCCTCCGCTTATTGAGGTTGGCTTTGGGCGGGTTCGATGAGTGGATCTGGTTCTATGTGGCCGACACAATTGAGCGAGCTATGCATGTCGTAGTGGTTGTGGCGAGCTGGAAGCGTGGCCCTATATGGGCCGCATATTTCAAACGCTTTGATTTTCCCAAGCGATTCACTGGAACTGTGTTGTCCACAAGTTAGGATGACGCCATGCATTATTATGACGCATGTTCCCGACGCGTTGCTTCGTTTCGCATGTGACCTCTGATTGAACCTGTCGCTTCGGTTTCGGTGCCCAGTAATGATGAGCCATTTCGGTCCTGGTGCCAAGACCCCTATAAATAGAGGTATTTGGATGCGATTTTTGGGGTTTAAGTTTTCTGTTGTTTCGAAATCCGATATTACTCTCTTGCTCTTTTCTTGCTTTAAACCGCTCTTCTCTATTCCGGTGATTTGTTTTGTTTTAGTTCTTCATCGTTTGATACCTCCCTTTCTTTTATCAAAACATGTCTAACATGGCTTCTGAGTCTGGTAAGGGAGGTGATGTGATCCCCTTGGCAATGGTGTTTCCCCCTCATGGGGAGAATGTTCCTGCCGCCGTCGAGGATGGAAGCTTCCCATTGGTGGAGGGGATAATCCCTCGTAACCCCGAGTCCAGATCTGATTTCACCAAATTACCTCAAGCCGACCCTGGAGCCTTTCAGTCAGTGATGACAGTTAAGGATTTAGAAGATCTTAAGGCTAAGTTCGGCCTTCCCAATCATATAAATTAATCCCGGCTGGGTGGGACACGGTGCAGGTCCACCATCCTGGGTACTGCGCCTTCTACACCTACTGTCACGATCCGGATTTCCCACCCTCGGGAGTAGGGGTGTTCATGGTTCGGTTTGAATCGGTTTTTACCTAAAAAGAAACCAAACACAGTAAGTCGGTTTTTTCTCGATTTAGTTTATGTCGGCTTTTTGGTTTTTTTGGTTATTTGTTGGTTTTTTCTTAAATATAAGACATACACTACCAAACACATATTCCGGAGATCACATTTTCAACGTAACACAATCAAATCAATTGCCATTTGAGAAATCAATTATTTACCAAGATATATTGATGATAATTGAATCAAATAGTGATGAATAATTTAAGGACTCAATTAAAAATATATTATTTTTAACACGAAATGGATTCTTACACTTGACAAAAGAAAACTACCAATCAAACTAGAATTTAAAGGTAAAGAACTATACTAAAAGTGCAAACTATTAATATTTACCATTAAATTTTTGAAACTTTATATAAAAATATACATATATATAGGTGTAATAATAAATTTTAAATAGCTACTCCTATAGTCGATTTGGCTCGGCTTTTTTCTGATTAAACCAAAATCAAACCAAATTTGACCGATTTTTAAAATTCAAATCCAAAACCAAACCAAACCAAAAAGTATCGGTTTGGTTTGGTTTTCGGTTTGGTTCGATTTTTCGGATTTTTATGAACACCCTTACTCGGGAGTCGTGATGGCGCCTACTAGAGGAAGCTAGGCAAGCCAACTATTCCGGTTAATTTACCCTTTTCATTTTTAATCTCTTAACAATTTCAAGTTACCAAATTATAAACAGTGGAAATAATAATGCGGAAGGACGAAATTTAACAATTTAGCAAATACCAATACGAATCCATAAACATAAACCACCC